CCTTAGTCATATAGCTATTACATGTTAGAAGCAGAATTTGAATCCAGGTCTTTTGACTCCAAATACAGCATATTCTCTATAACACTATGCTTCTTCTCAAATCTGTTTCCTGTTCTGTAATATGAGATTAACAGTGTTTATATTATTTCACAGAAGTGTGAGCAAAATATTCTGTAAACCATAAAGTGCTATATAAATGCAAACTATTATTAGAATGCCATGGATTACTTAGAATTCCTTGTTATCTCCTATACAGTTATTAGTAAAGAGTTTTACATGTAGTAAGCCTCAGATATCTATGGATTGCCTAATAATAGCCACAAAGGACATCAGAACCAAGTGAAAGGATCTGTGACTTTTTTTTTAAGATAGGGAGACATGGATGTGCTTGAAGGTAGGAGAGACACCCAACAGAGAGGTAAAAATCAAAGTTTTTGAAGAGAGGAGGAAAAAGTCTAAGAGCGAGATTTCCATTTAAAAGATGAACTCTAGAGCAGAGGAGGATAAGACAGCTTTAAAAAAGGAAACTGCTGCCTCTTTCTCCAAAATTGGTGAGATTAACAACAACAATGACTAACATTTACACAGTGTTTACTATGTGTCAGGCACTGTGCTAAGCACTTTACAATTATTATTTCATTTGATCTTCACAGCAAGGTGATATTATTATCCCCATTTTACAGATAAGGAAACTGAGGCAAACAAATGTTAAGGTATTTGAGGTAGGATTTGAACTCAGGTCTTCCTGACTTCAGTCCCAGTGCTATATCCATTGTACCACCTAGTTGCCTAAATTTTCTATCCCATCCAGCACCTAGAAATCTGAATATAGCAAGCATTCCTGAAATATGCAGGAATATTTATGCTGAATAAATATTCGGGACAGACATAGGTATGGTAATATGTTGAAGTGAGGACAAGAGGGAATACATGAACAAAGCCACAGAGGTATAAATACATGGTTATAGTTACAAAAGCCGATAGGGAGAAGATATTTGGATGCCAATATTTATCTCGCAGACATTGAAGAACCACTGCAGATTTTTGGTAAGGGAAGTCAAATGAGAAGAGATATATTACTCAACCCATCTTAATTCTAGTGCCTTTCTTGTCTTAACTCTTTCCTATTTATCTTGAATAGAGCTTGTTTGTACATATTTGCTTGTTGTCTCCCTCATTAGATTGAGAGCTCTTTAAGGAAAGGGACTGTCTTTTACCTCTTTCTGTATCCCTCTTTTAGCACAGTGTCTGGCCCATAGTAGGTGTTTAATAAATATTTACTGACGGCTTGATAGCCAGTGCTATCAAGGAAATGGAGTGCTGTGTGTGAGGAAAGGGAAGTAGGCTAGTATAGCTGGATTTTAGAGTGCATGGAGGGAAATGTAGTGACTGGAAAGGCAGGAAGTAGTCAGGTTCAAAGGTCTTTAAATAGCAAAGGGAGAATTTCATGTTTGTTCTTGGAGGTAGAAGAGAACCACTGGAGTTTATGAGTAGGGGCATGGCATGGTCAGACATGTACTTTAGGAGGATCACTTTAGGAAAAGTAGGAAAGGAGGGAAGGGATACAATCAGGGATACCACCAGAACCCTAGGCACAATGGTCTTTTAGCCATGGTAAGAGTAGGGAATCCATGATGGTTCTGCTTCAAGCATACAGTATAAAGCATGACACAAAAATGAGAAGAAAAAAATGAGAGGTTAGGTAACTTGACTAAGGGTACACAGCTAGTAAATATCTGATATGGGATTAGAACTGAGGTCTTTCTGATTTCAGCTTCAATACTCTAACTCACTACATTTCCTCTTATTACTACGCTCCTCTTATTATTTGACATAGTTTAGAAATGCCAGTAATAACGATGAGACAATACAAACAAATCCAGGGAACAAGGCCTGGCAAAGATGGGGCAAAATGATCTCTATTCATGAATGAGAGTTAATGTGGAAATCCTTAAGAATCTATTCTTTAAATTTGTTTCAGCAAAGTAAAAGGACATATAATAAGTACACAAAAATCACTAGCATTTCCGTATTACTAACAAAAACCAGGAAGAAGAGACAGAAAGAGAAATGCCACTTCAAACAATAAGAGGCAATACATATCCTGAAGTCAACCCACTAGGACTTAGGATATAAATACAAGTAGAAAAAAATTTTCACAGATAAATGATTTACATAAGTGGAGAGAGAATTAATTAGTATAATATTATAAAAATGATATGAAAGTAATTAATCTATAGATTAAATACTACAACAAATTACTAAAAGGATAATTTTTAGAGTTTGACAAAATAATTTTAAAATTCATATAGAAAAACAAAAGATCTTAAATAATGACCAAAAAAGTATGAAAGAAAGTGGTCTAACACTGGCTGATATCAGATTACATAATATAGCCATAATTATCAAAACTATTTGGTGCTAGACAAAGAAAATGGAAAATCTGACCAAGGAAACAGATTAGATAAGCAAACAAAAACACAAAGTACCAGGGAAAGTTCTGTTTATGCAGTAAGAAGTATTGGGAAAATTGCATAGCCATAAGGTGGAAAATAAATTTAGACAAACATTTTCTACCATGCATCATTAAAACATTCCAAATAGATAAAATAAGGCAAGTATAAAAACTTACACCATTAAAAAAGTTAAGAGTTGAAGGTTCTCTCTCTCTTAATTACGGATAAGGAATGAATTCATAACAAACTGTAACAAGGAGTATCAAAAAAGAAAAAAAACTTTGATTTATAAAAGTAAAAAAACTTTTAAAAAAGAAACATAGACATAATAATAAAAGATATGGACGGATAAAAAAATCTTTATATGAAACCTCTAATTAAAGTCTGGCTCCAAAATCAATAGGAAATTGTGATGAATATATAATATTGAGAACTATTGTCCAATAGATAGGTCAAAGCATATCAACAAAAAATTCTGAAAAGAAGCGCAAACTATCAACAACCATATAAAAGTATTCAAAATTGATTAACAGAAAGATACAAATTATAACAACCATCACCTAAGAAGAGCTATCATCCATGGCACAACACTATTTTAAATAGAATAGCAAAGGCAATGAGTGCCAAAAGCCACTGAAGTTTCTGAATTAGAAGAGGCAGATGTTGTTTTCCCTTTCTTTGTATCTCTAATAATTAGCCTGGGACACAGTAAGCACTTAACAAATGGATGTTCACTTGAATATCTATGGATAAGTAAATTTTTTTTACTATTATAATGGGAGGGAATAACACTTTTTATTTATTTATTCTTTTAACCAAGAAGCAATCATCCAATATAGCCAATTAATTGTGAAATATTTTTACTTCTAACTTCGCCACATCTGTTCCATCTGATACCCTCTCATCATGTACCTGGCTAACATTTTATCTTCAGGCCCTCATCGCCACTCATGTGGATTATTCCAACAATTATTCCTAATTTTTCTCCCTGCCTTAAATCTCTCCCATTCCAGTCCATCCAACATATTGCTACTGAACTAATTTTCCCTAAGTACAAATCTGACTATTTTCTGTGAGTCTGTCATATCATTCTCATTCATTCTCTCTCTCTCACTCTCTCTCTCTCTCTCTCTCTCTCTCTCTCTCTCTCTCTCTCTCTCTCTCTCTCTCTCTCTCTCTCTCTCTCTCCCTTTCTCTCTCTCTCTCTTTCTCTCTGTCTATCCAAGCTTTGGTCTTTCTTGAACCTCCCCCAACTGGCCACAATACGTATATTTTAAAATATGATTATAAAGATTAAGCTTTATGCTCTTAATTTACATATCAGGTAAATTCAACCCCATATTTTTTGTCTCTGTCACAAAAATGAGGGCAAATATTAAGAAACATGGAAAGACTTTTATGAGGACCAAAAAAATAATTCACATAATTACCTCAAAAAAGTAAATGAAGACACCAAAAAAGCAACCACTCAATGTTGGTTCCAAATTATAAGTTTAAAACCACACTCTTCCTTTCTGTTAACAAATGATATATTATAAAAAGTGAAGACTTATACTGTGAGTAATCACTATATTAGATGATTTTGCTCAAATATTTTATAGGAATGTAAGGGTGGTGATTGTTTCTTGGGCAGAAATTGACATGTCAAAATTACATCACTTTTAAAACTGTTTTGCTTTTCATTTCTTGGTGGTTCCACAAATGGCACTTTCATTTGTAGAACAAATGATCCACAGTGTAGTACAGGGTTCCTCTATAAAGAAAGGCTGCTCTCTCCTAAGGAAAGAACAAATTATATTATACCTAGTGCAATAACAATTTTTTAAAAGTGCTAGTGTCCTTCTTAAAAACGAGTTTCTAACACTTAGGTCCTAAACTTACATGTAGATGATGTTAATGTAAGACTCAACAAATCCCAGGCAAGCTCATTTCATTCTTCACCACCAAGCAATTTGAATTATACTACCACAAGTGGAAGGAAGTCCATAACACTTAACAGTATTGTTAAGGTGTGCCTGAACTTCCTAATCTACTACTCTAGCTTAAATGAGGGCTTGGGGTCTGTTTCCTATATGCACTCCAAGAAAAAAGAAAGGTGGGTAGATAGGGTAGGCAAAGGGACTTCTGGTTACTGTGGTTTCTACTTGATCTGTACAAGAGTTAGGCTGGTCAGAAGTTCCTACCTCCTTCTTTGACTCTTTCCAGAGGTTCCCCAGTGATCATAATTGAATTTTTTCCTAAAGCTAGGAACAGAATGTTCTACAGTAGCGTGCCTTTTTTTTCTTTCCTTAAACACTAAGAAATTTCTTTTGGATCCTAAATTTAGGGATTAATTCCTAGAAAAGAAAATCTATCAAGTCTTCTGTTATTATCGCTGCTAAATTTAGTTGTTGTAGAGAACCAGCTTCCATGCACATCCCCACACCTAGGGAACCAAATGGCAATTGCAGTATGGCTGTGAGTTAGCACTTGATCTTGGACTGCAACATATATATAAAGTCAGATCTCAAGAGGAAAATAATTCACACGTAGGTTTTTACTTACACTATATGTGCAAGGTCAAGTGGCTTCTCTGGTTGCTCAGGAAAAACAGGATGTGGGGGCTCCCTGGTGGGTACACAACCCAGAGATTTACTAATTGCATGGCTCAGCTTCTTTGCAGGTGATTTCTGTATCAAAGGAAAAAATAATCCATTAAACCTTCAAATGAACTGACCATTGTGCTTCCAGAGATGGTAAGAAACATCTTTTCAAATACAGAGCAAGGTATCACAAAGACTACTAGGTTAGAAATTAAAGATCGTAGGTTCTTGTACTGTTTGCCATTAATGAGCTTTTTTTTTTAGTCATTTAACTGTTCTTGGTCTCAACTAGATGAGATGATATTGATGGTGTCTTTTAGCTGGAACACTGCTTGGCTATGACTGAACAATTAAATAATGGCAAGAAATGAAAGGAAATCAAAGCTGCTCCAAGGTGATTTCTATTTCATATATTCTCAGCACACTATATTCCAAACATTTCCACCATGAAGCAGTTTTCCAAATCAAACTTTCTTTTCCTTTCTGTTCATCTTGAAAATTTTTATGTCAATTCCCTCTGTCTCTATAATTATAGCACCGTCCAAGCATCACCACAGTTAAAATACTATATTTCCTCAATCATATGCAAGCAACCTTGCCTCCCAGTGAAAGAAAATATGAAGGGATATGTACTAAAAGAAAAGAAATAGACTTTAAAAACATTTGTAAAACTTTCGGGTATAGTATAAGAGAATGAGTAGTTCAAAGAGAAATTTTTAACACATGGGCATAAATACAATTTTTACACATACTATCAAGTTCCCTCTTTTGCCTTTTGAAACACAGTACAGACACTGCTATGATAGGGATAGCAACATTCTCATACCAAAAATCTTTATTTGCTAGATACATGTCAGAAATGGAAAATATGATTATTCTTTTAGTCTTAATCTAAAGGAATAAGGACTGTTCCAAAACTAAACTCTTCCTCTCCTATCTAATGTTTATTTTAAAAAATCAAATTACAGAACTAAAATCACTTGTGATACAACTAATTTAAATCTATATTTCAAACTCTTGTTCAAATTCAATTTAAAATATTCAAGAAAAAAACAGGTCTTTTAGGGGGAAAAAAGCTCTGAACAATTGTTACTTTAATGTTATAGCTAGACTGAAAAACAATGCATGATCCCTGTTAAACAGAATCAACTTTCTTTTGAAATTTATCCTATGATAATTTATATTACAAATAACCATATCATTAAAAATTTGGCCACCAGGAGATGAATTATTTTGGCCACAGCAAAACATTGCAAACCATGAAGGCTGTCTACTAAAGGCAGAGACGGTTTGCCATCTGCAGTGAACTTGCAAATTCCCAAGGGAAATCTGATCAAAAATATTAGCAGACTCTAAATCCTTAGAGTGAACTCAATAATTAAATAGCAGTAAAATAGTTTTGTTATTAAAACAGTAGTTCTGTGAAGATTTATCTCAATTTGTAAAAAGGGATGATTAGATTCAAGTCCTTCCTGAAGTATTGTTATGCATATTCAATTAGATGTATCCAACAACTACAGGTGAAAATATTCGATGGAGTGGCAAGGATATTTTATTCTTCTTTAGGAGATCCAATAGGAAATGACGTCCTTTTGATTGCTGTCAGGACGGTAATGGGAGATTTTTACACTTAACATGGAAATATCTACCTTGTTTTTTCTCTATTTTTCTTTCTGCAACATAATAGGGAATGAGAAGAGTCAGAAGACTAATTTGGCTTGCTGGAAAAGCAAATTAATACTATCCATTTAATTAGCTTCAACTGGCTTATTAGCAGGTTGAATGGACTACCCCTGGCTGAAAATGGAAAGAAGTCACTGAACTGAAAAAAACTACTTAAAAGGGTTTTCAGATGCCAAGCTTCTAATTTTGGCAGAGAATCTAATTTTAAAGTGGGATTGAGAGTATAAAGTGAATTCATTCTAAATCAAATCTAGCAGCCAATAATCTTTTAAAAAAAAAACCTATGTATACTAATCTTTAACTCTTAGCAATCATAACCTAATAATAAGAATGGAGATTTGATTAAGTTGCAATTGCTCAGTTATGAAACAGTGAGAAAGGTACTAAATAATAACTAGATGTTTCTTTAAAAGTTCATTAAAAATCACCTTTAAATATACTATTTTTTTTAAATCAAGAGAGCTGAGAGGTCAAAGTGCAAGTCTGAGAGCTTGATATCCTTATGTTAGTAGCTGGGGGACTTTACAAGTTATGTTAATGTTATTTTATGCCTAGCTTTATAAATAGAATTATATTCTTCATTTTCAAATGCTGTTAAAAATCTATTACTATAATCATGGTCTTATGTAAAAGTTGCCCATAGCACATACATCATGTTTGGACTATATTTGGTTAGGCCATGGCTCTAGTATCAACATCTGCCATATTCCCCAGATGTAGGAAAAACAATGAAAAACCAAGGGGAAAGTCACCTGAGTGTTATTGTTATAAAGAATATAATAAACTGACCCTTGTGTAACTATAATGACCAAGAATATCTCCAGGGAAGAGTTAGGAAAATACATCTTCCTGTTTGATTGGACTATATGTGGAATATGGCTTGTTTTGTCAGATGTGTCCAATGCATTAGTTGGTTTAAATGATTTTTTTTCTCTTTTTTTAATATAAAGGGAATGTCTTAGACTGGGTAGGAGAGAAAGAAGGGATATATTTAGAAATGGCAGTTATATAACAATAAAAAGCATCAATAGAAATTTTTTAAATATTTAAATTAAGTGACAATAAAGGTCACATTTCTTAAAATGTAACACAGTACAAATCCCTTCTAAATCATGTTAGACAAATTTTTGCGTATTTAAAAGATTTTAGTTTTATTTATTTAAGCACCAAAAATGAGAATTTCCATACATACAGAACATAAAAAGAGGATTTCATATGAAACTGGGAAGCTCTATCTAATATCCTTTGGCTTAAAAAAAGTATATATCAAATTTTATATATTACTTTCAAAACTGATCTACCTATCTGTTTTTCTTTCTGAGCTTCCTTTCATTGGCCCCCTTCTCTTTTTTTTTCAGTCATCAGTATTGCTAACCCTTTCTTCCCCCAACACCCCTCCCAATAAAAAACTGAAAGAAATGGGAGGGGAGGGGGTAAACCCTTGCAACATATAAGCGCAGTCAAACAAAAGATATCCATACAATGGCCATGTCCAAAACACATGTCTCTTTCTGCACCTTGTGTCCATCACTTCTTTGGCTATGTCTCACCATAAGTTTTTCTGGGGACACGATTGGTCACTGCATTGATTAGAGTTTTTAAGTCTTGCAAAACTGTTTCTTTTACAATATTGTTGTCCTTTATAAAGTGCTCCCCTGCTTCTACTCATTTAATATTTCAACAATTCATATTACCCAAGATTCTCTGAAATATTTTATCATTTCTTATGGTGCAATGATATTCCATTATATTCATATAACATGATTTGTCCAGCCATTCCTCAAATGATAAGCACCCTGTGAGATGCTAGTGCTTTTCCTTTTTTCCCTTTTAATTCCCATTTCAGGATGAGGAACTTTGTTTCACTTGTGATTATTTTGAGTAATTCCTGTCCCATTTGCATCCTCACTTGTTTCCTGGTTCAGTTTGATGAATATCTATGCCAAAACGTGTCTGTGTACTCAAACCTCCTCTGTGAGGTTCTTCTGAAGCCCTTTTCCCTACTCCTTCCATATTTGTATACAGTCTTTTTTTTCCTCATGTACACCTATAAGAAATCACAAGTTCCATCTCTTCTTCCTCCTTTTTATACTAGTGTATTCCCTTCTCTCCTCTTTCCTTCCTTTCCCCACTCTAAAATTCTCTCTTACAAGAGAACCAACTTACCCAAGGACCTCTGTTTTCCTTATTTAACTCCTTCAATACCCTTTGAAGACATTAAGATCCTGAAAAGATACTTGTTTCTTTTCCCACTATTTGTATGTTAACCCCATATCATCATGTAACACCAGCTAGTCGCTCAAATAATCTTTTTTTGTTTCCCTAGACTTTTTTGTTTGATTTTCAAAGATCCTGGTCAGCTCAGATCTTTTCATCAGAAATACTTTAAAAAGCCTTCTAATTACACTAAAACTCTAATTTTTTCCTCATGTAGAAGTATACTCAACCTTGCAGGATAAGTTAGTTTTAACTGTAAGCCCATATCCTTTATCTTTTGGAATACTGTATTGTATTATATTTGTTTATATAGAAGCTCTGAGGTCTTTTGTGGTCCTGAGTATGTTTCCCTGGTACCTGAACTTTCCTTCTTTCTGTATGTTTGCAATATTTTTACTTGATGTGTGAGTTCTGGATCTTAATTATGACATTTCTAGGACTTTTCTTTTCGGGGTTCCTGTCAGAAGGTAAGCAGATTCTTCCTATCTTCACTTTGTCCTCTGGTTCTAATAGATCTAGGGAGTTTTGATTTCTGATTTCTTGAAATACAGTCTAAGCTTTTTTCTTTAATTATTGTTTTCAGGGAGTCCAAATGTTCTTAAATTATTTTTCATTGACTTATTTTCCAGCTCCGTTATATTTTTAATCAGCTATCTTGAATTTTCTATTTTTCAATCTTCTAATTGTGTTCTAATATTTTTTTTCTTGTGTCATAGAGTCATTGGTTTCTGTTTGATCTATTCACTGAGTCAATTGCTTGGATAAGGTTTACTACTTTCTCAGTAGCCTTTTTTTCCCACCCCTCCTAAACCATACCCTACCCCACAAATCCCACTTCTGATCTACCCACTCATTCCACTTTGCTCTCTGGAATGCCTGCTCTATCTTTAACAAGGTTGCTTTCATATTAAACCTTTTCCTTTCCTACGCTTTCCATTTTCTGGCACTCACTGAAACCAAGTTCCCTTCTGATGGCATGTGACTCTTTCCAGTACTGATTGCACTTTCATTCATGCCCTCTGCCTCACTGGTTGTGGTACAAGTGTGTTCCCCACTATATCTTCTAGAGTCTCCTTCTACCACCATTATTCAGTAATCTTTCCTCCTCTCTGAAGTTCATTCAATCCATATTTATCAACTAATCAATATTCTGGTAGCTGTTAATTACTGATTCCCAGGACACTCTC